TTAGGGTAGGGTCTTCATATTCACCCTTAACTTTGCACCAATACATATAAAAAGAAATATCAGCATGGTCAATACATTTATTTTAGCCCTCTAAATACTCTGGATAAGATCATGTACTCTGTAATCATGGACCCAAAAAGTCTCTTGGCTCCCAGCCTGGCTTAGTTCTGTCAGCTAGAGGACCTGGAGGGCTTTGACAGTAATGCTTGTTCACTTCTGTGCTGATTCCCGGCAGTTTAGAAGAGAGAAGCCATGTACAGTTTCCAAAATTGGAACAAGCACTATATATCAAAATGTCTGACTTGGCCGTCCATAATAGGTAAAATAAAATAAAAAATCAGCCAAACTTTAGAGCTACCTAGACTGGTGCATTTGTTTTTGTCCAAATAGAAATTCAGATATAAATCGGCAAATTCCAAAATTGGGATACATCCGAATTTCCGAATGGGAAAAATAACGAATTCAAACGTGAATTTTAGATCACAAAAATTCGGATGCATCCGAATGTTATTTGGAATTCACTGATATGTTGTTAAATGTAAACATTGAAGAAAAAAAAACCCAGCGTGGGGTCCCCCCAAATTCATAAAAGACCCTTTAATTAAGGTAGGAATTTTAGGGGGAACCCCATGTCAAAGAAAAAAGCATGGGGTTCCCCCTAAAATCCCTTGCCACATCCTTGATCTGAGCAGCAACCTGGCAGAGGAATTTGGGGGGGGGGCGCATTGTGCACCCACCCCTCTCCTGCACCATACCAGGGTCCCTATGTTGATGAGGGCCACAATCCTGGCCCGGTGGTTGTGGGGGTCTAAGGGCAGGGGGGTTTATGTGAATCTGGGTAGTTGTTACCCCCTACTCATTCACCAAACAAACCTTAAGATAGTAAATAAACACACCACACAGTTTTGACAAGTCCTTTATTAAAAACCACCCGTCCCCCCAAAAACAGTCCCTTGATGTAGATTCATTGTCAATCACATCGTCCGGTGATGTAGGTCCTCGTCAATCATGATGCCTGCTGCTTTTCGACCCGATGGAAGAAAAAATCCCTGTCGCCTGCCGGACACATCTGCACTTGCCAAACACAAACACTCGCTGCTATTGACAGCTCTGCTACTAAATGTAAGCAAAGGGGCGGAGCACGTCCGTCATTTGTAGATAAGTCGTCTCTGTCCAAAAACACAACACATCAGGTTGGAGTTATACAGGAAGAGGAGAGACACCAATGAAGGAAATACTGACAATGTTTACTTATTCAGTTACGTACACTGTTTACATTTAACAAAATACATACACTGTATGTACAGTGCATGCATAATTGCATACGGTATAGAAGAGGTCTTAAAGATGAACTTTAGGCAGATATAAAATGACACAAACAATGCAACTCTGTAATCATGCATACACTGTACATACAGGGCATGTATTTTGTTAAATGTAAACAGTGTAAGTAACTGAATTTGACTTGGTATCAGTCTCTTGCATTATACTGTACAGCAGAGCTCAGAGAAAGGGAGGAAAAAGTGTGTTGTAGTGCAAAAAGCATGCTGATAGGAGTAGAGAGCAGAACGACAGAGAGATGCGTTAATCAATGTGAAGAAGACCTGTAAGTGAAAGTGAAACCCCAGCAAAGCAGCACTGTGTAAATCTCAGGACTAGATGGAGAAAAATTAAAGGAGAACTATGAGGTGAGTGGTTTTCACTCACCTCATAGTTCTAGCCGACCTGTGACAATGAGACTGTCACAGGTCGGCTCAGTAGATCGGGAGGTGAACGAACACATACCGGCATTCGCTCACCTCTCGATCCTGTCACGGCTCTCCGCTGGATTGCCCCCTCCCCGCTCCGATCCGCCAGCGCTGACTGGCGGAACGGACGGGGAAGGGGGTGGGTACAGCTGGCTCTGCCTCTAGATAGGCAGAGCCAGCTGTCACTCACGCAGCTGGGCGGATCCAGACATAATTGTCAGGATCCGCTTCAGCTGCGGCGTCTCAGTATACCGCGAGCAGTATACTGAGCTTAGGGTGACGGGAGGAAGCTAGTTTGTGTCCTCCCGTTACCCTAAGGAGAACTATGGGGAAAAGCCTTAACCCCATAGTTCTCCTTTAAAATCCCTCAATTCGCTTTTATGTATTTCATATGTGTATTTATGTGTTTTTTTGGAGTACAGCTTTAAATGCTGACCATCTTTACCAACAATTTTTGGGCTAAACCGTGTTTTAGGAGAGCCACAGGGAATTCGTTGGTTTACTGAATAAGATCAGGCGGTGTCCCAAAATCCAGTGTTATTACAGATCGGATTGACACCTGCTGGTCAAATCTGGTAATGAAAAAATGTAGCAATTGCTTACAGGAAGCGCCGTATTCTGCTGGTTTCACTTATTTTGTTGAGCACTTTGAACGGGCCAAGCAGATGTTTAGTAAATGGGCTTTTTTTCTTGGAAATTTGCTTTAATTACAAAACTGCTTTGTTATGCTAATCTGTCAAAGATCTGTTCAGTTCAACAAGTAGGTTCTGACACGTTATGCTATCATCAACCTGCTGTTCACAGCATTGTTCTTTTCATTTACAAGCAAGCAGGGTTATTTCTAGGGAATTTGTCACTTTGTTCATTTAGGTCTCCAAAGGCAGATCAGGGGGATGGGGTTGCTCGCTGAAGGTATCAGTGTCAGGTATTTTTAACAGAACCTGTAACTTACCTGGAATCGGCAATGGGACAGATTTTCTTGCAAAGAATAGAGAACTTACCTGCCACACTGCCAACTCTTTTGTGAATTAAGCTGGTTGAAGAATCTTCTAGATCTGACACTTCCGGGTGTGTCTGTGCCTGGTTCTACTTACTTTTCCACGCTGTGGATACACATGTGCATTCAGATTCGGACGAACCTGCAAATCAACAAAATTCAGTTGATTCCGCGGTTAGTCCGAATCCGAAATAACAATTTTTTTATATGCCTGAATATACTAAAACGATATTCAGGCATAATAAATTGGTTATCAGAACGCGCGGCAGTCATATTGGGCACCGGCGCGTTCTGCGCTTGCCCGACGCCATCTTGGAGGCAGGGTGCATAACTCCACGTGTGTGCGGCGTTAGGTAACGTTATTTGCAGAACGAGCGCCGGCCGCCATCGTGTTCTGCGTATGCGCGCCGCCATTATGGAGTATATCTTGGTATGAGACCAGGCAGGTTGTGCAGGGGAAAAGTATGATAGTGGAAAGTATGGTTACTAGAACCCATATTGAGCATTATTTTTCATCTCTGTATTTTATTCTTAAGCCCCAACCTTGTTCACTCTTGAATGGGCACATGTTTGCGTGCAATAAAAACATGCTGGGGTGTATGTAAATATTACATACTTCATACTTTTTTATTGTTAGTTAACCCTTATATTCATACTAGTGTTGTGAGATGAATATGGCCTGGCTAATCAACAACACTTGCAAGAGGCTTATTAGTAGAGGTGACAAGATGAGTAGTATGTAACACAACATAAATGTTTGCAGGGTTTTCAACATGGAAGACTTTGCTTTTCAACTGGGGTTGCAGCTTCTTTCATCTTGCAGAGGTAAAATAATCTGTAATCAGTAATTGTCCCTTCAGGTTCTACTCTGGAAAATCCTAAAAACATGGCTTGTTAATGAAACACTGTCACCTTCCCATGCAGGGCATCCTCCTACACAGCCATCCACAACACCCAGCACTTCTGGATCAGGAAGAACATATGACCTCCAACCTTGTAATAGTCTACTAATTTGTATTGGGATTGTAATCCCTCACAGGAGTGAGCTTGGAGCGGTGGTAACTTTACAAAACACAGGGACCATGGGGAACAAAAGTAGCCACCCTCCAGAAGGAAGGACATTGTCAGTATGAATTCGGAGATGATTTGGGGATCTACACCCGAGTGATACACAAATAAGATACATTGCTGTTAATGTACTTGAATGTAAATTAAGATTTAACTACGGAGTTTAGTGTCACTCACTACATAGTATTAGGGATTACCTGAACAATCGATTCAGATTATATCTAGTTAGGTAAACTCTTCAACTACACAGGTGTTGGTACATTTTTTTGTATGTGTGCAGATGTATTTTTTTTCTTACTGCTAAAATGCATCACCTTAGCTTACGCACAAATGGAAATGGCTCCCTGACTGCTGTTCTAAAACCACTTTAAAAACTAGATTGTTCCCCATCCCCAGCCAACGTGACAGAGGGAGCAATACACATTACAGTTGTGTTCAGAAGATGCAGCTTAATGGAAATTGAGGTAGAAGTTGATCAATTACAAATGGAGGGGAAAAAAAAATGTTGAGCTGTTGCCAAGAGTAACCAACTAGGTTTCACCTTTTATTTTATGGGAAATTAAACAAGAATTACGATTGGTCACTATAGGCAACAGATTAACTTTGGTTTTCATTTCCTTTTCTCTATTTTTGTGAATCAGTTCCAGAGTGCTGCATGTAAAAGCATCAGATAGATATTGCCCTTAGGCTGCATTGATTTATGCAGTTTATGACTTCAGTCTACATGTAACACATAAACCTTTAAATAAGATGAAGGGGATGGTGGAGAGCATTACAGTTCTTTGTGAAGCACGGCTTGTGACGGATGGGATAATGTTTGAAGTATGGCCATCTCTGTATGTGAAATTTGGGCTCGGAGAGCAACAGAGATGGATGTGGGGCAGACTTAGAATAGATGGAATATATATAAGAGCTTGCCTGGAGTATATATTAACCTCCCCAGGTCTATTTCAATTTAAAGGTGGCACCCCCCATATAAAGTAGTAAAGAACAGGTTAATAACTTTTTTCCCATTCAGTGTGTTATTTAAAGCTGAAAAACACAGTCATGTGTTTATTTTTACTTTGTAAAATATTTTCCTCAAGCAAAAATAAATTGTTTTAAAGACAAATTGCATATCGGCAACAAAGACATTGCATTTTATCCCGAATTCCTGCAAGTTCTATATTATAGAATTATTATATCTACATTTTCCCACCACTTATGTACGGAAAGAGTCCAAGAATGGGAAATAAACCTTTTTCTGTGCTGCACACACAGGTATGTAATGTCCCCCCGTATGTGTTAGTAGGACCGGATTGACAAAATAGGAAGCTAGTTCTTGGCTCATTTCTCCTGGGATTACACGGTCGGTGTCGCCGTAAACATGAAGAGATGGGATCGTGATGGGCTGCTGGTAAAATTCTGCATGTTCAGTGGAACGACTCTTGAAGCCAGCAACCAGGATGGCGAAGTCAAACTGGAAGCGAGGATCTCCGCGCTGTTTGAGTGCACATATCATGGCCACGAGGGCGGCTCCTTGGCTGAAACCCAATATTCCGTTGAAGGGCCCAAGTTCAGAAAAGGCCTTGGCCACAGCTTGCAGAGATTCCTCTAAACCTACGCAGGATCTGGCTTCTTCCATGGCATTAAAACTGTTCTTCTCAGGGTCTGAGAACCACCAGCCTCTGGGATCTTCTCGTGGAATATCTGCACCACCTTCATTGGAGTCAACATCTAAAGAGACAAAATATAGTTAGGTCTAGTAAGTGTATTTGATTTTCATTTCTATTACCTATAGGGATTTGGTTATAAAACAGAACAACAAAGTATTCTTAGAAATGTATTAAATAGGGATGCACCGATATCGATACTAGTATCGATATCGCTGCCGATACCGAGTATTTGGGCGAGTACTCGTAGTCGCTTTTGATGAGAGAGCATGGAGCGGACTTCCCGGCCAATCAGGAAGCCAGGCAGCGTGTAATGACGGGCTGCCCGGCTTCCTGATTGGTCACCAAGCTGGCCAGTCAGGAAGCCAGGCGCCGTGGAATGATGAGGGAGCATGGAGCCGGCCAATCAGGAAGCAGGGCGCCGCATCATTACACGGCGCCCAGCTTCCATGATTGGCCAGAAAGCCGGCTCCATGCTTACTCGTCACACAGTGACGAAAAGCATGGGGCGGCTTTCTTGTTAATCCGGAAGCCGCGTGGCGAGTCTTTACACGCTGCCTCGCCACCTGGCTTCCTGAATGGGACTTCCGGTACTCGCAAATTGGTATCGGCGAGTACCGGAAAAAAAATAATCGGTACTCGGTACCAAAATACCGGTATCGGTGCATCCCTAGTATTAAGTATACATTACTTCATGCCGTAAAACCGATAACTACCAGCAAACTCCTTAATCAAGGTAACAAAAACATTAATTTGTTTGAAAAAAATTCAACCTGGAGTCACCCCGCAGATTCTTATCTCTCAGTGATACTGGTGGGAGCTCCAACCAGAGTGACACAGACATGGCACAGCAATGTGCTGCTTCTCCTTTCAATACCCAGTCACAAGCTGTGTAAATCTCTCCTGGGCTTCTGATGCTTCCACAGGTCACTCTCCATGTGAGCACACTGTAGAATGAATGTAAACACTCTGCTTCCAGATAACATTTACATCGGGAGTCTAGTGACGTCACTTCACACTTCCTGTGAGTACAGAGGCTGAAGCAGAGCTGGTACAATTCTGTCCAGCGTCTCCCTACCGCAGCAGATCATTGCTATTAGTGATCTATTGCTGGCTGATTGCAGGCAGCAATAGATCAGTGTTAGAAGCGATCCGCTAATGCATAACTTCATGAGGCATCTAGATCAGATCTCCATTGACCAGATCAAGAGCACTGCCCCTTCCACATTAAGAAAAATAAGTGATAAAAAAAAGTTGGTGTAATAGAAAAATATATAGACCCTCCCAAAATGAACCGCCAGGTCGAAACAATGATGTTAGAAGATCTGGATAACATTTGCGTTCACTGTGCCTGTGACAAGCCTGTAAAAAAAGTTGCTACCGTGTTAATTTGTGCCCTCGCCAACCCCAGTTTAAAAACGTAACTGCCCCCTGTGACCTTACTCACCTGGAAGCAAATGACGCAAAGCGCCCTCCTGGTATACTGACGTCAAATATGCAAAGATGCTGCAGAATGCTTCCTCGCAGCACCAGAAGAATCATCATTTATCTGGCACAATGCCATCAGGGGGCCGGCTGCGAGAACCTTGAAGAGACAGCCAACTCCCAATGACAAATTAGACAAAGATGGCGACATGGGATGGGATTTAGGTCAGCAGACTTTACTAAATATTTAAATATATGGGAACGTGCAAATTGGTTTTAGTGGTTAGTAGTGATATGAGGCTGGGCTTGGGTGAACTCAGGCAAACTGGGATTACACCAAGTCCAGCCTCATCGCTAGTGGTTAGTACAGGGGTGGACAACTCCAGCTCTCCAGCTGTGCTTTAACCACAAGTGAGAGCATGCCTCTGCCTCTGGGAGTCATGCCTGTGGCTATCAGTCTTGCAATGCCTCATGGGACTTGTAGTTCCAAAACAGCTGGAGAGCCGGAGCTGCCCACCCCTGGGTTAGTACGTGGTTTGTGAGTTTTAGGATGGCAGTTTCTGTGGAGTGTTGCAGGTGAAAGTCAGACTGTAAGGGGTCAAGAAGGTTGTTAGCAGTGAGGTGGCGGCTCAGATGGTTGTAGACTGGATGTTCAAGAAGATGGAACTTCGGTTGTTTAGACTGGTGGATCCAATGAGAGATTTTTAAGTATGGGGGTGACCATGTTAGAGCGGTAGGGAAAGATTGAAGATGTGAATCAGAGAGTGCAGAACAGAGCAAGAGGGTGACCAGAGTTGTTGTTAGGAATTGGGGTCCAGGGGGCAGGTGGTAAGGTGCCCGTCAGACAAAAGGATAGCAACTTTGTTTTTGGTAACAGGTCAGAGGAGGAAAGTATTGAATGTGATGGTAGACATAGTATGTTAAGTGGGGGAGATATCTGGACAGTGGTGATCTTATCACGAGATATATCAATGAGTAGTGAATGAGTTAGACCAGGGGTGGGCAACTCCAGCTGTTGTGGAACTACAAGTTCTATGAGGTATTACAGGACTCTGAGAGCCACAGGCATGATGATGGGATTTGTAGTTAAAAGGAGAACTATGGGGTTAAGGCTTTTCCCCATAGTTCTCCTTAGGGTAGCGGGAGGACACAAACTAGCGTCCTCCCGTCACCCTAGGCTCAGTATACCGCGAGCTGTAGCTGGCGGTATACTGAGACGCCGCAGCTGAAGCGGATCCCGACAATTATGTCTCACCTCATAGTTCTCCTTTAAAGCACAGCTCGAGTTCTGGGGTTCCCCACCCTTGCGTTAGAGGGTGGACTGGACATGCGGGGTGGGGCTGGGGTGGTGAATTAGAGAGTTAAAGGTAGAAAAGTGTTACTGAAGACTGAATGAGAGTGACGAACTTGGTCTGCCTGGCAGCAGAAACTGCATTTTTTTTTAACACAACCTGAAAAGGTGGTGGAACAGAGCCATTGCAAAAACAGCACTTTTGGACAAAAGTGTTTAACTTTTGTGCAATGGTTTTCCTGTGCCCTTTCCATTATCCTCTCATAACCACAGCTCCTGATTTTCTAAATATAAAGTGGGGGGAAGTGGTGCTCACTTTAAACATGAACTCATAGATGAAATAGGTGCAGGAAGCTCATTAGCGAGGAGGGTCACGTGTCACAGCCGGGCTCACCATCACCCAGGCGGTGTCACCCCCTCTAACCCCCGGCTCTTGGGATCAGCCAGGCAGGTCACGTGTCCCTCCCACTCTCCTTACCCGTCTCTGGGATCTGCAGAGGGGCGCTTATCACCACAAGCTCAGCGCGGTTTTTCAGGTTCTTTCTCAGAGATCCCGTCCTCTCCCAGAATGTGCGCTCATTCTGCCAGTAGCCGTGCAGTGCCAAGATCCGCAGAACCGATTTACAAGCCTTATGTTCAGTTGCGGACGCCGCCATCTTGGGACACCCGGAAGTGGGCGAAGTCAGCTCTGATTGGTTAGCTGTCAGTGGCAGAAGAAACTGCTCTTTGGGGCTGGAAGTTTAACTTGCTTCGCTTTCCTGGGTGTCTGTACCGTGTCGCAATACAATTCCTGTGCATCACAGATGACATACAATATGTTGTATTAACCATTGCCTGATAGTCACGTGACTGAATGGAAGAGCACTTTCACATTGTCATGTGGTTCTAGTTCCCTGCAAAGAGAGGAAACCCCCAATGACTCCACCAGTACACCATTTACACACAATGCTTATATTTATCATTATTCTTAATGAGCAGGTGACAGGATTTTATTTTTCTTCAATTTGGAAAATTAAGTAGCTACTATCTCTTGCAAAAGTTTTTTTTTCTCTGAGTTGTCACTATTGCTAAGGCACTCATTTACAAATAGAATTAAAAAAATAAAATATTTATATTTTTTATTTTACAATTGCAGGTTCCGGAACTGAAATCAATAATTTGCGGCAAACAAAAAAAACATCCGTTATATAGTAAAAAGTTACCTCAAAGCTGTGGCTGTGTTTCCACATTTGTGTACTGATACACTTACTTGCATCTGTTGCCTGCGGTCACAGTCACTTAAAAAGTGCAATCACTTTGGACAAACTCTAACTTTCAATCAGATTGCAAGGAACAGATTGGGCAATCCAATTGTAAGGTACAGATTGGGTAATCCAATTCTAAAGGTGCCCATACACCTTACAATTATCTGCAGATTTTCTGTGGTCAGATGGAAAAAATGCAACAGATTGGCGCAGGTAGAGATTACTCCATCTAAGTGTAGATGGAGGAATCTGTTGCACCTTTTCCATCTGACCACAGAAAATCTGCAGATAATTGTAAGGTGTATGGCCAGCTTAAAGTGACATTAAACCCTCAGATTTGTTAACATAAACCAATACTGTAATGTGCGCCTGGTTGTTTCCCTTCTCTTTGCTGATCTTCCTTTTAAATCTGTATCTGTTCTCATGCTGGGCAGAACTTCTGTTTTGCAGCAGACTGCCTTGTCTCTGGAATGGATACACGGTGTCTGTGTGTAGGTTTGCAACCTGAGCCAGCACTACAGGAAGAGGCCCTGAGCTGCAAAGGGAAGTTCTCCCCAAGCATGAGAAGACATGAGGATTTAAAAGGAAGAGCAGCAAAGAGAAGGGAAACTACCATGGATTACAGTAAGGCACACATTACAGTATTGGTTTAGGTTAAAAAATCTGAGCGTTCAATGTCACTTTAAGTGCTCTATTTCTCCTTGGATCCCCACTGCCTCTGCCCATACAGGCGTGGGAGAGAAGAAGGGATCCGAGGTGAAGCTGCAGGCTGTGCCGCCCCACTTCTCCCTGCCGCCTTATGGGGAATCCGGCACTGCCTGCAGCTTGTGTCATAGCGAGGTGTCTCGTTCGCCTGGCATCCCTGTGTGGCCGCAAAGCCCGCACACCCCAAAGGCCATCTCTGACCATTGTAACCTCTGCACTCCCATCCTGCGCATAGTGTCCACCATCGTACCCTCTGCATTTCTCTCCTGCGCATAATGCCCACCATCATACTCTCTTCAGGCCTCTCCTGCGCATTGTGTCCACCATCGTATCCTCTGCACTCCTTTCCTGTGCATAATGTCCACCATCATACCCTCTGCACTCCGCTCCTGCGCGTAGTGTCCACCATCGTACCCTCTGCGCTCCGCTCTGCACTCCCCCTCCTCTGCATAGTGTCCACCATCGTACCCTCTGCACTCCTCTCCTGCGCGTAGTGTCCACCATCGTAGCCTCTGCACTCCCCTCCTGCGCATAGTGTCCACCATCGTACCCTCTGCATTTCTCTCCTGCGCATAATGCCCACCATCATACTCTCTTCAGGCCTCTCCTGCGCATTGTGTCCACCATCGTATCCTCTGCACTCCTTTCCTGTGCATAATGTCCACCATCATACCCTCTGCACTCCGCTCCTGCGCGTAGTGTCCACCATCGTACCCTCTGCGCTCCGCTCTGCACTCCCCCTCCTCTGCATAGTGTCCACCATCGTACCCTCTGCACTCCTCTCCTGCGCGTAGTGTCCACCATCGTAGCCTCTGCACTCCCCTCCTGCGCATAGTGTCCACCATCGTACCCTCTGCATTTCTCTCCTGCGCATAATGCCCACCATCATACTCTCTTCAGGCCTCTCCTGCGCATTGTGTCCACCATCGTATCCTCTGCACTCCTTTCCTGTGCATAATGTCCACCATCATACCCTCTGCACTCCGCTCCTGCGCGTAGTGTCCACCATCGTACCCTCTGCGCTCCGCTCTGCACTCCCCCTCCTCTGCATAGTGTCCACCATCGTACCCTCTGCACTCCTCTCCTGCGCGTAGTGTCCACCATCGTAGCCTCTGCACTCCCCTCCTGCGCATAGTGTCCACCATCGTACCCTCTGCATTTCTCTCCTGCGCATAATGCCCACCATCATACTCTCTTCAGGCCTCTCCTGCGCATTGTGTCCACCATCGTATCCTCTGCACTCCTTTCCTGTGCATAATGTCCACCATCATACCCTCTGCACTCCGCTCCTGCGCGTAGTGTCCACCATCGTACCCTCTGCGCTCCGCTCTGCACTCCCCCTCCTCTGCATAGTGTCCACCATCGTACCCTCTGCACTCCTCTCCTGCGCGTAGTGTCCACCATCGTAGCCTCTGCACTCCCCTCCTGCGCATAGTGTCCACCATCGTACCCTCTGCATTTCTCTCCTGCGCATAATGCCCACCATCATACTCTCTTCAGGCCTCTCCTGCGCATTGTGTCCACCATCGTATCCTCTGCACTCCTTTCCTGTGCATAATGTCCACCATCATACCCTCTGCACTCCGCTCCTGCGCGTAGTGTCCACCATCGTACCCTCTGCGCTCCGCTCTGCACTCCCCCTCCTCTGCATAGTGTCCACCATCGTACCCTCTGCACTCCTCTCCTGCGCGTAGTGTCCACCATCGTAGCCTCTGCACTCCCCTCCTGCGCATAGTGTCCACCATCGTACCCTCTGCATTTCTCTCCTGCGCATAATGCCCACCATCATACTCTCTTCAGGCCTCTCCTGCGCATTGTGTCCACCATCGTATCCTCTGCACTCCTTTCCTGTGCATAATGTCCACCATCATACCCTCTGCACTCCGCTCCTGCGCGTAGTGTCCACCATCGTACCCTCTGCGCTCCGCTCTGCACTCCCCCTCCTCTGCATAGTGTCCACCATCGTACCCTCTGCACTCCTCTCCTGCGCGTAGTGTCCACCATCGTAGCCTCTGCACTCCCCTCCTGCGCATAGTGTCCACCATCGTACCCTCTGCATTTCTCTCCTGCGCATAATGCCCACCATCATACTCTCTTCAGGCCTCTCCTGCGCATTGTGTCCACCATCGTATCCTCTGCACTCCTTTCCTGTGCATAATGTCCACCATCATACCCTCTGCACTCCGCTCCTGCGCGTAGTGTCCACCATCGTACCCTCTGCGCTCCGCTCTGCACTCCCCCTCCTCTGCATAGTGTCCACCATCGTACCCTCTGCACTCCTCTCCTGCGCGTAGTGTCCACCATCGTAGCCTCTGCACTCCCCTCCTGCGCATAGTGTCCACCATCGTACCCTCTGCATTTCTCTCCTGCGCATAATGCCCACCATCATACTCTCTTCAGGCCTCTCCTGCGCATTGTGTCCACCATCGTATCCTCTGCACTCCTTTCCTGTGCATAATGTCCACCATCATACCCTCTGCACTCCGCTCCTGCGCATAGTGTCCACCATCGTACCCTCTGCACTCCCCTCCTGCGCATAGTGTCCACCATCATACCCTCTGCACTCCGCTCCTGCGCGTAGTGTCCACCATCGTACCCTCTGCGCTCCGCTCTGCACTCCCCCTCCTCTGCATAGTGTCCACCATCGTACCCTCTGCACTCCCCTCCTGCGCATAGTGTCCACCATCATACCCTCTGCACGCCTCTCCTTTGCATAGCACCCTACCGTTGTACCCTCTGCAGTCCCCTCCTGCGCATAGTGTCCACCATCATACCCTCTGCACTCCGCTCCTGCGCGTAGTGTCCACCATCGTACCCTCTGCACTCCCCTCCTGCGCATAGTGTCCACCATCATACCCTCTGCACGCCTCTCCTTTGCATAGCACCCTACCGTTGTACCCTCTGCAGTCCCCTCCTGCGCATAGTGTCCACCATCATACCCTCTGCACGCCTCTCCTTTGCATAGCACCCTACCGTTGTACCCTCTGCACTCTTCTTCTGTGCATTGCGCCCACCATTGTAGCTTTTTCTGGCCATTCACTATCGTCTTACGCCAAGACAAATTGGCTTCTACACAACTTCACCTTCCTTCTTTATTGCATTAAAAGTTATGCTTTACTTATTCCCCATCCAGCCTACCTAGATCTCAAACATCAATGTACTTGTCAGATATTAGTATCGAGTGGCACCTATGGTGTGAGTGTATCACATATGGCAGGTTGAGGTATTTCTGTATATTTGCCGTTTACAAATGATATCCAAACCCAATCACTAAATCCTCATATACTGTCAGATGTTGAATTGGAATTTTAAAGTTTTTGTATTTGTCTTTCCAGTCATAAGATTTACCTAAAAAGAAAAAAAAATGACCGGTATGATTTTCTCTGTTGCAGTTGAGTAACACCTGTGGGTCCGGTCTAGTCTCTTCCACAGCCTGCGACTAGACAGTGAAAGGAGAAAGAGCAGACTGGTGAGCTTGGATCTCTGTCACTCTGCTGTCTCCTTCTATCACCATATGCCATGCAATGCAGGACAACTAATTGGCTCCTTATGCTGCTCCAGAGCAATGTTGTGCATGTAAACAGAAAGTGGCACTAAGAGTCTAGAGGAGATCAGCAGCACTGAGATACAAAATGGATGGAAAAAAAAAAGACAACAGTGTATTATGAAAAAGTGCCAATTGTTGAGCAAACTAAATGTGATTGATTTGGGTAGAAACCCCCTTCCCC